TGTCATTTTTTCATTCTCATTGTGCTAAAAAATCACTGTCAAATCAATCAAGAGAGGCTGCAGATGTTTTGGGGCAGATTAAAAGAAAAAATCACTAGATGAAACGATGATTAATCAAATATCTGGGACAAGCTGTCAGTCATTGAGCAACTTACTTCAAAAAGCCATGAACTATCTCACGAAACTTTGTTTATAATAAGCATTTATAATCGTAAATTATAATCCTTTAAGAAGTCATAGAAATTCCCGATAATAAATTCCCCAGAGGGATGTAAAAATTGAACAACAGGATCCTATGTTGTAAACAACGCATCTTATCATCATCTATTCACAGAACATTCAATTTTGACTCTTACAACCAATGGAATCTGTGGTAACCCAGTATTCTCTGGCCCTGATGTTTTCTAATATATACTGAGAGAAATAAATAAAGGATCACAGGAAAATTCAAGAGTTCCTTTATTATTTTCCAGTTTTCATCACCACAGCACTATTCAAAGCTGGTGATGAAAACTAGAAAATATTAAAGGAACGCTTGAATTTTCCTGTGATCCTTTATTTATTTCTCTCAGTATATCATTCGCCAACTGCATTACATGCAAACCCAGCACCCATAACCATAGATTTCTAGCATTGCAGGCACAGGCTACATGTCAGGTTGGCCATTGGGTATTGGGCATTGATGAAGACATCACACTTTCTGCATGAGTTACCTGCCTTCGGCATGCCAGAATCCTATGATCAAGTGTTTGAAACCACTATTTGTTTCAGTTGTCATTCCTGGTTTGTCTGCACTAAAACCATGCTCAATGGTTTCACCACAATGCTAAATGTGTTGACCTGCAAGATTTAGGGATTCAGTCCCACACTGTGCAGGCATGCTGTCACAGTGAGTGAGTGAGTTTAGTTTTACACCGCCAGCTATATGGCGGCGGTCTGTAAATAATCAAGTCTGCACCAGACAATCCAATGATCAACAGCATGAGCATCGATCTGCGCAATTGGGAACCGATGACATGTGTCAACCAAGTCAGCAAGCCTGACCACCAGATCTCGTTAGTTGCCTCTTACGACAAGCATGGGTTACTGAAGATCAATATTCTAACCCTGACCTTCATGGGTCGCATGCTGTTACATAACTGAAATTAGGGCTGGGACGATACACTATGTCATGATACCATACGCATTGCGATATTTTACCTGCGATACGATACGTATCATGATACATACACCTTGAAAGAATGGCACAGTATTAAGATTTAAACTGATTTATTTCAAGGTATTTGTGTATAACAATAACACTATTGTAATAAACAAGCAAGTAACTCTATCATACTTGCCTGTTTTTCTCTAAATAAGTACTTTAACAAGTTTAAGATGAAACTGTTCTGAAAAAACGTTGTGTATCATTTTGTATTGATACACCAGCCGAGATGTATCGGTGCATCGGTGAATCGTCCCTGCCTTAACTGAAACGCTGTTGAAGATGACAATGAACCTTGCCTACTCTAACATGAGACAACAGTGTCTCATCAGCAATGTTGTCATGAATCAGAACTGATTTTTTTATTTTCTGTTAAAACAGACATAAACTATACAAGCCAGGACACCCATGCCATTAAACTCACACAAAGACAAGATATGTGAGAATTTTTTGGCACTTAGGTTGTAAACATAATCTGTCATAAGATATCTGTCTTATGTTCCAGGTGTTCACGAATATCCTATGCTTCATGCCATCAAGAACCCATTTCTAATAATACACTACTTGCCCTACTACTTCCGATGACTCCAGATATTCATGTACATACCTGACAGGACTTGTAGCGACCATCAAATAAAACTGTCTCCAAGCAGTATGTATGTTAGGTCAATGAATAATAGCGTCATTCCAAGATGTCTCAGCTAAGGCAAGTCTTCCTTCATGTTTCAGAATACAGATTCAATCGACCAGAATTAATTACAAATCAAACAGATATTATTTGCCTAATTTCACTTAATTAGAAATACAAAACTGTTCAAAATGATTATTATATTTATTGAATGACTAATTACATTTGACCACTATAAACCAACTGAAAAAATGTCATGTCAGATTTATTTTTAAAAGAAAAAGCATAAAGTTTGGAAAACTCTCTGAAACAACAAATAAACATAACTTTTACAGACAACAAAACCTAATCTATCACAACTAAACACATTTACATTTAAAAGTTTACATACTAAACATCCTACATTACAGACTCAGCCCTTACATTTTCCACTAAACAGACCAAAATAAATTTACCAAATATGAAAAACTATTGAACTCTACAAATATATCAATACAAGTTTATTGGTTAACAAGGAATCTATAAGTCATAAGGTATGACATGGTTCCATTCCAAACAGATATCTTAGTACTAAGGTGATCATTATTCCCATACTACAACATAGATTGACAAATGCACGCTAAGATTGGTTTGTAGAATGGGCCTTGTACTATGGATATATCTGTCTGTCTTTTGTATACTGGGCGAGGAATTAGCAGTGTCAGTCCAAAATTCCTCATATAAGAATGGAAATATCTCGTATATATATACGCCGATAAAACACTGTACAAGAAACAGGCTGTTGTTGCCTTAAGGTGGGACCCTTTCACCTGCTTTCATATGCTGACCACTTAGGCACGTGTACGTCAACTGACACAAGTCAAAAGTATCCCTGATAACAAACTTCACTCGCACAACTCATTCTGTGGATCAAAGAATCATGACACAAGGGCCATAACAAGAAGTATGTCACAGGACATTTTGTTTTTATGAACAGCTCAAAAGCAGACCTCCCTGGACTGAGATTTTAACGTGTGTGTTCATCACAATGTGAGACTAAGTGTCATGTACCCTTGTAGCTCGATTCCATTACTATCAAAGGACAAAAAGAATTATGTTGAAAGAACATTGACAGGGGAATAAAGAATATTGACTGGGGAATATAGTTTTCTTTAGAAAAAACGATACCGTAAATTTTGTTTTCTGTCTTTTTCTATCTCTGTAACAACTAAATGTAGCAATAGCAGGATTATTCATAAAAATGTCTTTAATCATATGGACGATATTTTAAACTTTATTTCCTAAAATAGTATTAAAAACTATCTTAAATCTCAAACATCAGCACCAGAAAATGGGTTTTTCTATATTTTCCGGGGCGGTGGGTTAGCCTGGTGGTTAAGGCGTTCGCTCGTCACGCTGAAGACCCGGGTTTGATTCCCCACATGGGCACAATGTTTGAAGCTCATGTCCCCCGCCGTGATATTGCTGGAATATTGCTAAAAGCGGCGTAAAACTAAAAACACACACACACTTCTATATTTTCTGCGAAAGAGAATTCAACTCACAGTAAAGGACCAACAAAGCTGTGTAAATTATATGAATGGCATAGTGAAAATCAGAGATGACACCACGTGTTACCAAGAAGGCAAGCATGTCCTAGTAGCACCCACTATTTCCACATTTAAAAAGTATTTGTTGAAAGTTTTTGAGCAAAATAAAACAACAAGCTTCACTTAATCAACAAACCTTCAAAATAACATCCAGAAGCATAAAGTAGTCCGAACTTGTGTTAGTAAATGATCTACGACCAAGAGTGATCTGTGTATGTTAGTTTTTCTTCCTACAAAGCACCATGATATTTTATAAACATCATACCCTGCCTCACCAAGCATACACATAATTGTTTCATGAAAAAAAAATGTGGTTTTATCATACTTGGAAATGCTATAACTATGAAAAGATATTTTCAAAAGATCTTCAAACATCTATAGTAACCTTATCTTTCAACATATTGCAACGTTTAGACTCATCTGTGTTCATGGTTCGGGTTGTATGACCAGTTAAAGTAATTATTTCGATCAAAACATCGCATAATCTGAAAATTTGCAGTGTTGAAAAATATTCCTCTCATCAAAGTAAGACACAAAATAAACAGTTTCTGCACTGAGCCCAAATGCATTTGGGATGTCTAAAGTTTTATGTGAGGATCTAGTATGGCATTATAAGAAGGCTTGACGTCAGTGCTATGGAAGATAGGATTGGTCTATGTATATATCGGAAGCTGATTTGCCTTCAAAGCAGCAGTTCAAACATATCCGAAATTCAATAGTGATTCCAATACACCCTCAGTGCCTCATTACAGCACATGCTTTTATTTAATCAAAATCTGCCGAGTTCTTACTTTGGAAGGTCACATCAAGGTCAGCTTATGGAAGGAAATCAATGGATTGCTTCATCTTGTAACAATGTTCTTAAAACTGCCTCTTCTGGTCAGGATGATGGCTTCACAGATCAAAATACAGACAGCAACATGTGTATGTGTCTTCTCACAGAAGGTCTAGCTTGCTGGTTGGATTTGTAAACTATCGTCAAGCAATCTATTTCCATTGCCAACTGTGGGGTTTTTTTCATATTTTCTGTGAAGAATTCTTACAAAGAATATATTTTCCTCCATATTTATTCATAGGTTTGGAGTGGAGTTTTCGTCTGGTGATCTAAGGTGTCAATAAATACTACAGAGAGTTATGTACCCTGAAATGCCAGGATCTGCTGATCATGGGGATTGTCTAGCTGAAAACCACATAGGTTCCACTGAGGTATAAAACATCAAAAACCTGCATCACATCAAGCCTGCATCTTGATGTTGTGAAAATCTTCATTAAAAGAAAGATCAACCATTCCACTTGATATTGTGATGAGTGAGTGAGTGAGTTTAGTTTTATGCCGCTTTTAGCAATATTCCAGCAATATCACAGCGGGGGACACCAGAATTGGGCTTCACACATTGTACCCATGTGGGGAATCGAAGCCGGGTCTTTGGCGTGACGAGCAACCGCTTCAACCTCTGGGCTACCCCACTGCCCTGATACTCTGATAGACTGTATCTTGAAGAACAAATTAGAAAATACAAAATAATAGTCTGTGCCAATGGTCTAATGCTGTCATTTAAAAAAGTAAATTGTGACTTACTGTTGACATAATGTGACAAGGTCTTTGTCTGTGGTGTTGGGGTTAAGGCCACGAATGTAGAGGTTTGTTCGACTGAGGTTCTCTCCAGATAGAGACTGGTTGCTGGACTGGCTACTGGTGGTGTTGGGGCTGGCAGCAGGCATATTGCGAGGTGGATAACTCTGAAAAAACAAAACAATACATGAATACAACAGAATTCCAGCATTCAATTACCATAGCGAATGGAAACAATACTATAGCATGACAAATTTCTGATTTATCACTTCAAATTGTCAATTCAAATTTTGTATTCATGAGTATTCTTGAACATCCATTGATATTCATGTGTAACATCAATTAGGACTGGTTTGTTTACTGCTCTAGACAGTTCCACATGACAGTAGTCTGTCTATCAAAGATCATGCATGCAAATACTTCATACTGGAATATCGATTTAAAGTACAGAAGTTGAGAAAACCTAATATACTAAGATCACTTTGTGCAACCCTGCCTTTGTCTGTACTATAGACATGGTGTGTCAAGAAGTGCTGGCTCTGCCATGGAGATTACACCTATCTTAGGGTGTAGTGTGTTGGATATTGGTCTTAAGGGAAGTAGTAGAAACCATCCACACCCATGATATAATACCACCAATGACAGAAGGGCTAGATATGATAGCACAAATGTTTAACACACTGCCAATGTTTTTTCCATGAAAATGATTGATAATGCAAAGCTTTCATCAACTTTATTATCATAGCTTTCAGAAAGTCAGCAGGTATTAAACTACCATTACAGCAAGGAAAAGAGATTCATATACGCAGGGTCTGTTTCAATGAGAATCAGAATTCTTCAGTTTCACATAACATTTTTTAGATTAGCATCCCAATATTCTGAAGCTTCTGAAAAGCATCTTGCATGTTATTTTTTTGTGAGAAAAAAGTTACAGTCTGTCTTGATGTCCGATAGAACACAGGATGCACATTGTATGCATTCCCGATGATATGTACAATACAATCTCAGAACACAACATCTGATGTTCCTCAAGTTGAAACATCATCGAAGCATGCTTCTGAGATTTGCAAATGATAATGCCACATATATAACATTCCCCTACCAACTAACCACAAACAACTCTCTTGTATCTCAGCCTAGAAAAACAAACACTTTGTATGAAGGATACCCAGTGTCATATTTATCCACCACCCTTTTTAATAAGGACTGCTTGGATATTACAGGTTACACTGTTTAAGAAAATTGGTAAAACATCCTCGTAAACTGAAGGGTGATAGTGACTTTGTTTCTTGTTAGTGAACCTGCTATCTGCCACACACCCTGCCACCATGTTGCTGGGCATGTGCCACATTGGTATCCACCAATGAAACATGTCCATTCAAACAATTTCTACCAAGTGGGTTGATATATAGAGAAAACACTGTTCCCACGTTGTAGGTCCTTTGTCCTGCGACACCAGCGATAGCCAAAGAGATGCTTCAAACAAATTGATTACACTGTAAATTTACCAATCACAATGTTTTGTCTCAGCACTAATCAGAGGGTATTTCAACGATTTAGTCCTGACTAAAAAAACTTGCACGGTCATATATTCTGCTTATGTCAGTAAGACAGGCCTGTTATCTTGTTGTGTAAAAAAGCCTTCATTCCTCATGTGTGATGACTACAGCGTCAGTTCACTATCTCATGCTACGCCTGATAAACTATGTATTACATAACACCCTCTAACATTGTGAACAAGGTATAAATCTCTATTATGTTAAACAGCATTAATGAAAATTATAATTCAATATTTATTGTGACATGTGGCTCAACTGTTAAATTTCAGCTAATTTTTAATGCAATCTTTAATAAAATATTTTTTGAAAGTATTCAAATTGTATGGAATATCACTTGAAAAAAATCGGAAAAGACAAAATATGTAAATATCAGTTGCCATAGATTATGTAATAGCATGATGATCTACCATAAAATATTCTGTTCAGATGGTGAGACACGATGATCTAATGCTAATTATACTGCTACAGAAGGCATGAATATTCAGTGTCTAGTCTTTAGATAGGTCGCAGCAAGGAATAATACTGAGTCATCATCCAGTTCCATACCAGAATGCTGCAGATTCAATAAAATTTATCAAATCCCAGTATTATCTTGCACTGAAAGATGAAACTGTCTGACAAAATAAATTAATCTCTTGAGCCCAACTGGGCACAATTTGACTCAACTGACCTGGGATGTTTTTTATTCAAAAGGCTTGGACTATTTTGGACCATAATCAGAATGTATGGTCAAAGTTTGTAATTTCCATCCCCAATGTTGGGTATGACTAATGCAGTCACATTATGACTAGTTGGAGACGTTTTTATGAAATATTTCACTTAGAATCTTGATCAATAGCTAAATGGATGACTGCAGTCTGAAAACAGCCACTAAACTGAAATATCTATCAATGCTAGGCATCAGATACTGAACAGTTTTCCTGCAGATCGCTGGACGGCATGGAGCAAAAATCTACCATTGTTGTTCCCTAACTACTTCAGAATCAATACCTCCCCGATCGACTCAACATCAGTGGATCGTGGAGCCATTCCATGGACCAGGAGCAAGCTGGTGGAGCCATATCACATAGCTAATTGTGTGGTATGGTAGACATATAGTAGACACCTAGATGGCCTGATACAGCCCGTATTGTCTGGGAACATTGCAAGCCCGCAGATGATGCAGCAGGTTGGATCAGGCTATAGATAATATCCAGGTACCATTAACACTTTTTCACCCAAGTGACCACTGATAAAAGTATTCTAAAAAGGCTTTGAAAAATATTCAACTGATGATCACTGAAGAATAAAGCTATCATTTTTTATGATATTATAATATGTATTCAAGCCAGTGCCACCAGGGCAGTCGATTAACCCTTTTTGACATAGGCGATACAAAACTATACACATAGGATGCCACTCTTGGCAGTAGTCAAATTCAGAGGTAAATGGGTTAAGGGTCTCCTCAAGGTGTCAAGATGCGCTTGTCCAAGTTTCCACAAAGCGGATCAACAAGCGTGAATGGTACACAAGGATGGAAAGGTCTCGGCAGGTTGTGTACAATTGGTGAGGGGAGCATACATAAGTTTCCCAGAACATTATTATATCTACTGTACCTGAAAGATTCATGTATGGCCCTGTGAACAACAAAAGTAATCTTGACCATTTCAAAGTTAACAATTTCTCACAAAACTCTCCATCTGTAGAAAACTACTCTGTATCCCAGTCTTAAACTCCAGAGACACTCACTGAACTTCAGGAATTTATAATTCATAATATATATGTACATGTATATATATTCTCATTTCTAGATTGGTCGTTTTTGACATTTTTACATTATCATGTAAGTTCTAATTAATATTTCCAGAAAGAAAACACAGCACAGATGTGTAGGTAATTTGTAAAACAAATAATATCGTCTTTTTAAATGTATTTTCAGTTTGGTTTATTCAATTCTTGAGCACAGTTGACTTACAATAAGCTATTCACAGTACACTTGTTGGTACTTCACACATATGTATTACCTTTTTTTCCAAACTTGACATGGGGCTTAAGAATCAAAGTGTCCCACAGCCATTTATAATATATGTGACTGAGATTGAATTTTCTTCACAATATATTTACGAATCAATATTTTAAAGTGCAATTTCAATATCAGGGACTGCCAATACTTTGGCCACACACGAGGCAAACAGTAAATACACAGATACGTATTCCAGGAAGCCACATTCCTAATCTAAGAAGAACGTGATCACTCACAATTATTGACTCTGATTTCTCAACAAAAAATCTTTCTTTATCCATCAGGTCCTACAATCGTGTGCAGTGCTCTTATCACAGCAACTAGGGCACTGCTCACCCAATATTCGTCAGGTATTCGAGGCTATTTCAAGTTTGAACAACCCCTCTGGGCTCGCTGACGGCACAAGAGATAGGACATATCAGTCTGCATTTTTTACAGCCATGACAAGAGATTTGTTTCAATTAAATATGCGACAGATGCCTCATAGAACTGGGGCAAAACAAGGCAACATCTTTATCAGCTGATTTATAATCGACTTCTGGATAAATCAAAACATCAAAAACAGTTAGTTGTTTCAGTTGTTAGCATAGCATGTTCCTTGAAACCAGTCTGACAACATTTCAAAACTGAAATCTTGAACAAACGAACATCTTGACTCCTACAGTTTTAGGACCTGGAGGGCCAAGCACAGGTTTTGTTTCAGCAAACAGGACAGAGTATTTTGACTAGCATTAAGGAATTTTTTTAGGAATTTGGAGAATTCTACAAGCGACAGTGACCATACTTCTTGTGTAACTAGTTGTAATATAATGTCATAACCTGCATTCTTCTCAGTGTCTCCTTGTTTCGCCATTAAAAACATCAGCTCCACACACATTCAAGCAAACATAGTTTTTTACCTGGACAAACAATATCTTATTCTTAAGATAAACAGGTCTGTTTAAACACTATTATAAGACCAGGATGCCTGGCTTGGCCAGAGAGCACTTGCCGAGCAAACCACACCGCCATCTTCATGTCTGAGCAAATATTACAAATATAAACATACACAAATAAGCTAAATATATTTCCTTAATCATAGACGTGAAATATTTTTAGGATGTTAAGGGCAAAAAGAAGATTGTTATTTTCTCCCTAAGCCACCTCAAGTCATGGTTAAGATACACTTAAGGAACAGGCCATGTTTGCTATCAACACGAAACCAATACGTAATGGCAGTTTGCTTCATTGTATAATTAATCCATGTTAAGTTTTAAAACTCTCAACCCTCCATCATGCAAATTCTCACAAATTCCTTTTCAACAACAATTTGAAATATTCTGTCTTACAAATATTAGCATCTAGATTTAGACCAGAATTTCCGAAACATAAATGTCCACACATCCATTTTAGGAACAATTAAAAAATAAATGTATTTTTCATGTATATTCATAAAGATATATGCACATATCATACTATTCAAATAATTTACCTTGATTTCCACAAATTATTCACCAAACATATTTTTGACTGGGAAAACTGCGAAAAAAATGTCCAACAAGTGACATAGCACATGTTCTAAGCAGGAGCAGTTAATCCTAATCCAGAAGTTGACAAACTATGGTCA